TTCGTCGTTCTTTTCATCGTCTTTTCCAGAATATGTAAGTGCATGTCGGAATAAACTCGTACGCACTTTAAGATACAAAGTGAACGAAAAAAGGAAAATTGCGCAAAAGCGATTTTTATAAAATGGTTTTTTGTTGTTTCTTTAAAAAATTTTTTAATATACATATTAGCCAAATAATAAATATATACAAATATAAGCATATAAAAATTGGGCTTTTTTATACTATATATAATGCCATGGTAAGTCGAGATGAAGCAAAATGTTAACTAGTGTCTTACGTGCAATAGTCATTTGAATGTTCTGAAAATCTTACTCTTCTTCCAGAACGCGTTGTTTTAAGTTCATTTTCAGCTACTTTCGAAGTATCATCATGTGTGTTGGTTGTCGGATGAAGTATTATAAGTGTCGGAGTCGTGTCATTCGACTGCACCGAAGGAAAACCGACGTGGATAGGATTTCCTTCTAAATACGCTGCTTTGAGGCGATCGATGCTGATGCTATCGTTGGTTCCGTTCTTATCGATTATATAGTACTTCGGTTCGCGTTGAAGAACTTCGGAAGGTCCTTTTTTTCCTGATTCGAAAGGTCGTCGATGCGAATCTCGACGTACGAAAACGTATGTACTATATCGTAAGTCAGGTTGAACGAATACATCAGTTGATTGAGGCCGAGTGGAAACAGGTTTAACTGAACGCATTTCGTTTGTAAGCCTGCTCGTGTAGGAGGTTAGATCCATGTTCATTGGCGAAGATGAACTATCCACGAATTCTCCTGGAAGTCGAAGTGTCGTTCCATAAACGAGTTGAGCCGCAGTGTATCCAATACCAGCTATAACTGCATTGCGGATACCTAGTAAAATGAGTGGAAGAGCGTCGGTCCACTGTGAAACGTTTGCAGCTGATAGTGAAGCTTTTAGTTGTCGTTGAAAATGTTCTACCAACCCGTTTGCTTGTGGGTGGTAGACAGTCGTTCGGAAGCGATTGATTCATAAACGTGTGGCCATAGAACGGAAAAGTTCAGATTCGAACTGACGTCCGCGGTGTGTAGTGATGGTTGAAGGGCAGCCGAAGTTTGCTACCCATCGTTCGACGAAGGCGCAAGCCACTGTTCCAGCAGTGATGTCCTTCATAGGTACTACTTCTGGCCATCGATTGAAACGGTCTACACAGGTTAAGAGGTAAGAGTATCCATTTGAATCTGGTAAAGGTCCTACCAAATCCAAATGAACATGGTCGAAACGAGCATCTGGAGTTTTAAATGAGCCTAAGGGACATTTATTGTGTCTGATAACCCTAGATTTTTGACAGCTTACACAGGAGCGTTCCCACTCCCTCACGTCTTTATTCATGCCAGGCCAGCGAAACCTTTCTGCTATAAGCTTGATGGTTGCACGAACACCTGGATGAGAAAGTTTGTGCAATGTGTTGAAGACATTGCGTCGATAAGGTTTCGGCACGATTGGGTGATCCCTACCTGTAGATGTGTCACAAAGTAAGGTTTCCCTACCTGTTCCCATCTGCTTGATGCGTGGCTTGAGTGTTGTAGACGATAACTCGTGCTGAAGATCAGCGTCTTCTTTTTGAAGCTGGGCGAGTTTAAGAAGGTCGATTCCTTGGGAATTGTTCAAGGAAGTTATTCAAGACAACGCGTCTGCGACAACATTATTAGCTCCAGAAATGTGTTGAATATCTGAAGTAAACTACGAAATGTAGTCCAGTTGTCGAGACTCACGAGGTGAGTACTTTACTGAAGAAGAGCTTAAAGAGAAGTTAAGCAGTTTATGGCCTGTGAAAAGGGTGAATTCACGGCTTTCGATGTAGTGTTGATAATGCCGTACAGCACAATACATATCTAGGAGTTCCCTACCGAATGTGCTGTACCTCGATTCACTGTCTAGCAAACATCTAGAATAAATGCCAAAGGTTGCCGGGGGATGTTAACCCATTGTTGTAAGACTCCTCCGATTGCCGAGTCGGATGCGTCTACTGCGATACTAATGGGTGCTTCGGTGTCCTGATGTGCGAGCATTGTTGCTTTAGCGATCAGTCCCTTAACTGTGGAGAACGCTTTTCGTGCGGCGTCGTCCAAATTAATGGATTTCGCATTTCCACGAAGTTGGTCGGTTAGCAGTTTCACAAGTAATACGCATTTCGGTATGAATCGTCTATAGAAACTTACAAGGCCGTTAAACGTGCGTAATTGCTTGATGGTGGTCGGTTCTGGGTAATCCAGAATGGCCGCCACCTTGGTTCTAAGGGGTCGAATGCCTTGCGCTTCTATAGTGTGTCCTAGGAAAAATTCGTAGAGTCCGAAAGTAGTTATGATGGCAGTTTTCGGAATATCGTCAGCAGCCATAGTGATTTGGTTATACGCTAACCAAGTGAATTTTCGAAAAGACAGTTGTACCTTTCAAGGTAGCTGTCAAATCGTGAATGTGAGGCAACGGGTAACGATCGGGAATGGTTTTCGTATTCAATCGCCGATAGTCACCAGTTGGACGCCAATCGTTGCTGTCCTTTTTAGGGACCATGTGCAACGGAGATGCATATGGGCTACTTGACGGTCGTATGATTCCTAAGTCCATCATGTGATAGCTTTTCAGGAGCTAGTCGTCGTGCTTTAGAGAATACAGGTGGTCCTGTAGTCGTGATGTGATGTGTAACATTGCTGGTTACACACGGTAGTTTCGGTTGAGTTTGTTGTGTCCCAGGGTACTTACCGAGTAGTGGTTGATAGAGTGGGTCTATCATATGTTTAACTGTGACTGGGGATACTCTACAACCAGTAAAAGAAGTTACGCAAACGGACAAATTAGTGTTTCCGTCTACTAGCCTCCGTTTGCGAGTGTCGATGATCAGATTGTGGTATTGTAGAAGGTCCATACCAATGATTGGCATAGAAACATCTGCAACAACGAAAATCCAGTGAATGGGTTTGCGTAAAACCATGTTAAGATAAACGTACCTTTCGCTATATGTAGCGACAGGCTTTCCGTTTGCCGCCTGTAATTTTAAAGCCGATTCCTGAAGCCGGTCGTTAAGATCCGCTGGGAGAACGCTAACTTCTGCGCCAGTGTCGACGAGGTAGCGAACTGTCGTTGTCACATCTGTGACGTACAACATACGGCTATGTTCGCGGGCTACGGTTGCCGTTAACGCGTGCAAGCTCGGAAGTTTCCCGAGTCGTTTTTCGAGTCAGTCGGTTTTGAGATGGGAAAATATCAGGGTTTTCTGCAATTTCTGGAAGACTTTCCATACTGGTTATTATACCAGCACCAGTCGGGGTTATCAGTCTCCCGTGGTCTAGAGAAAGAGCGTCTACGTGAAGTGCTTCTTCGCGGGGTGTGTGACCGTTTACGGTCGTTACGAAATTTAAGATAACGTGTAAGTGTACGACATAACTCTGCGATGTCATTCTGGGTCGTTTGAGGCTTTTCTTTGACCGAAAAAGCCTCGGCATTAGAAGATTTCGTGGTTTCTGAGATGCGTTCGGCATATGCATCCAGCTCGTTTAAGGCGTTGTCTTGAAACGAGACCATCACAGCTCGCACCTGCTGAGGAAGTTTGGGTAAGAAAATTTGTTTGAATAGGCCATCATCGAAGGTTCTTTGGCCAATAACCTCTCTTATTCTCTGCAACATGTCTGCCGCAGAACCGTGTTGCAGGTCGGTTTTATTGAGGAGTTGGTCTAACTTTGTCTATCAGTTATGTCTCCGTGTTTAAGGATAGATCGAGTAAGTGTTTCGTAGGGTTCTAAAACATCACTAGTAAACTTGCTAGGCGTTACGTACCTATTGAATTCGCGCGGTGGTGTTTTGACTACTGCGAGGAATTTAGCACGTGTGTTGTTCACGCCGTGCTCGTGGAAGTCGGCTTCCGCGTAGCAGATCCAGGCCTCGATGCTCTCTGGCCAGAAGGGCATGAGTTGGAACGATTTTGGGGACATAGTTTTTAACTTAAGTACCATGGGTATCTGTTCAGTCATGGTGCAATATCGAGTACGAGAATGAAGGGGTGATAAAAAATATATATATCCAAAAACACGGAAAAGATATCACAATGTATAAAAAATTAAGGTAAGGCAATGTATATGATATATAGAATCCCACAGTTTGCGATTTGTTGTACCAGATCACGTCGGGCTCACCAATGAAGACGTCACAGGTATTCGGAGTTTGAAAATGCTTTAAACAGTAACACCTAATATGAATCGTAACCACTAAGTGAAATCAAACGACAGAAGCGAGGAGGTTCAAAGATATATTTGATAGTCTATCAATATATCGAGGATCGTCTGATCTAACCTGACTAGCGATTGCAAGGGTTGTTGAGCACGGCGTTCCTACTCGTGATCTGATGCGGATGTATGGCCGAGTGCCTTCAGCTAGGTGAGTCCATTAAAACTAATGTGGTTAGTATCCAATGTCGGAAACTTACAGAGCTATTTATTTTGTGGATTTATTTACCGCTGCATATACATAAGGCTAGCCTTAGCCTAAGAAAGACTGAGTTGTTTGAAGAGTTCCGAAGAACCTGAGATGACTTGAGTTTCGGAAAAGCAAATCTCCCCTATAAAGCCAAACTGGTCAAACCAAACTTATTTTTCTTGTCGTATAAACACTAGAGGCGACTTAGACACAGCTTTTAAATTACTTAATGATAAATTTTCATCGTACATAACCTCTCTAAAAACAGAGGATTCAAGAGGATATCCTGAAAATGTTCACAAGGCCAGAACAAATTACTTGCCAGCTTATTATCAACTTTCCCAGGGAGAGCCTCTTCTTTTCCGTCCAGAACCATTTGAATATTCAACCGAAACTCCATCTATCTCCTCATCCTAAATTTAGGATTGCTTAAGAAATCCGGATCACCTGGGAGACCACCAACGTCAGAAGTAAAACAGGACACTCAGCTTCTTGCTCTTTCTAAGTTGGAGCAGAATTACTTGGAGTTCATCAAGTGAAATGCTTTTTTGAATCCGTCTATGTCCTCATGAACCCACTTTTAATATCAAGGTCACTGGTGTCAGCGTGACTTGGGGTGGGCTTCTTTTCACTGTTTTTTTAAACTTAATTCCAATGAAAATCGATTTAGCTGTAGACTAACATAATGAAAAGATTTTCAAAATTATTTTTGGTCGCATGTGCATACGTTAGCACATGCTTTTTTGACAAAATAATAGCGAACATGACCCCGAGCTCCCAGTTTTCGGGAAATTTAGGGGAAATCGCACCAAAACCTCAAAGTCTGTATAGACTTGTAAGTGTCATGTTCGCAAAGTAAATTAATTAACTTACTTTATCAGACGCTGTAACTAGACATTTTCATAGAATAGTCAGATAACAGTTTTATCTGTCGCGCAAGGGTTCTTTTTGTAATAGCTCAAACCTGTTCCACAATGTCAGCTCCATATTTGAGATAACTGCTACATGCTAAATCTTGACATACAGCTAAAATATGCTTTTTTAAAATTCCTGAAGACTCATGTAATTCATATTCGTATTAATTACCAAGTAGTCACTATCTATCCTTTCAAGATATTCAGATCAGTATATTTGGATGCTGACGACTTCGTTTTTCCCTGGACTTGTACATAATTCCCACTACCACATCCTATTACTGCAGGACCATTGATCTTCCCAGATTTGGACCGTATGGTATCGAAATCAATTACCTGGTTAGTGAGTTGGTATGCTACTATGATCCCGCCCTAAGGATTTGTCTTCTCTCACGAGTTCTTGCAACTGGTTGCAGTGTTATCTCCCTGCTTTGTCAGTAAATTAATGAGAATATCTGTTATCGACATCCTGAATTACCTATTTATTCACTTAAGCGCATAAACAGCATAGAGGAGCACCAAATATATATATATATATATATATATATATATATATATATATATGCGTCACACTAATTGGACGGGTGAAACAGGAAACTCCCTGGCTGTCCGAACCGAAGCAAAATATTAAATAACCACACATTTTTATATACCAATTGGCTATAGATAATATATTTAATTATGGGCATAGATTTGGTACATAGGGACACCAAATGAACGGTCCATACATATGCAGAGGTAATACAGTAAAAAAGGAAAAGCAACACTATTTAAACGAAAATATACGTGAACAAGAACAAAATGTGGTAGAGGGTATCATTCAGCTAACACTCTAGTTGAGAAAGTTCTTTCACTAAAAATCGTTCTTATGACGAATTTAAAAGGCAACTATAGCGTGGTCTCCATCAACCTCTATTTTGAGCTGCTTGTAGCGTCGTTTCAAGTCGCACTATCTGTGGGGCCTCAACCACAGTCGTAATTGACCGGCAAATAGCGGTCCCAACCACTTTCATGCCACGGCGTCAGTTTATAAACAAACCACCTCTGTTTATTCCAACCCATCCGTGTCTACATAAAATACATAGTGCGGGGGTTGTGATAGCACTCGTGACGCACTTCTAAGCCACCAAAGTTGGTGTTTCAAGACAGCGATACCAGTCAAATCATCACTATACCCGAACTCATTACCGAGTCTCACTATTAATAATTATATATATATATTCGTAGGTTACTGGTATTCTATCATAGGTGTCTACGAAGCATTCCTCGGGTGCTTTGAGACCACCATGTAAACAATGCCAGGATTAGGAGTAGGATGGTAAATCACTTGACGAGGTAGTGAATTTTCATCAACTGAGATGGTTGTGGCATGTATTATGTATGCCCATCATCTACCGCCTGCCATGAAGGGCTATGATTTCTGGTGTAGGAGTAGGTTGGAAGAAAGCTAGAGGCAGTTAAGCCGAAATATAGCATCAGTTCGTCACTGACAGTTGTACTTAACCTGGTTTGAGTCGGCGTAATTAGTGGTTAGAGACTAAGTGACATGGCTCAAAATTCCCTATAGCCTTTTTCATTTCACGAATTTATATTTTCTTGTATCATATCTTCCATATCTAATCTTAGGTCGTCACTGATACTGTTGCTACCCCTACTTCTGGGATTTTGCCGGACAACATCTCTGTGCTATTGGGGTATGGCAGCTTGAACCTATGTACATACGTACCAGGTTCTACGCTGTGACTGATCACTACCATGTACTTGAGGGCTATTTCCAGAGTGCCATCAGTGACACAGTAGAAAAAAAGTGATATTGGACAACCTTGCATAACCTCGCTACTGAACTGGAATAATGGATTGAGTTGGTTGCATACCCTCACACTGCTTGAAGTACCTGTATGTTAGGCCTTCAATATGTTAACGAACAGTCCTACCCAACAAATCAAAGTAGTCCCTGTTATCAAAGAACACCAGTTGTTGCCCTTCAATAAATGTGGCGATGCTTTAATATTTAGAGAAGGGTGAAGTTATGGTCAAAACGCTAACTACATGAGCTAAAACTAGCCTGTTCCTCGCTAGCCGTTTCCTGAGTTTTAGATCTGTGGATTTTGGTGAACTACAGTAGTCTTCATGCAATCGACAGTAGACATTCCGCGACAGCTGGTGCGTAGATAACGTAGGCTGCTCTTAGAGAGGGAAAGAACGATTGCTTCGTTCGATGTTGGAACACTATTTATCAAACCTTTCCAAATAACCCAGTCTGCTCTCTGACCAAAAGTTCTTCATCTTTATAAAACCGAGTAGGAGTAGTTCATCTGGTTGTGATGATTTTTGATGCTTCAAAAGTCGGAGATTCTTATGGACTTCAGACTTATGAGAGCAGGACTAGCAGTAGCAGTACTCTCTCTACCTCTCAAAACATCTCCGGATGTCACTAATTTTCATTTAGTTAGCTTTACTGATTGTCACATTCACACCAAACGTTTTGCTGCCAATAGCTTAGATAAGCTGAAATGGCTTTTAGCAGTTGCCAAATGTTGTTGGTGTTTTCACCACCATAACATTTGTACCTTGTCTTATTTACTTTACTCTGTACCTTTTATCACATTTCATAAAATTGATTGTGAGATATTGCTAATAGTCAATAAGTTGTCTGATCTAAATTAACACTTACGTTGGGATTGTGCATATGTAACAAATTTATTGACATAATCTTATGATCAGTGATCATTAGACTTTAATGTGTTATTTTACAATATAAGTTATTCAAATACCAATCAGATCTATTACCGATAGCTCCATTAATACAGTTTTAGATATGATACTAGTGTATGTAAGTTCATATTAAGTGAGTAAATAACTTATTTGTAGTTCTTATTACTTTCCTAACTCAATAACTTCGTACATATTACATTGTCTTTGTAATTTCCCAGCTTTTCATTTGTTTCACATTAAAATTTCACTCAAACAAGATTCTACATGATAATAACATCCTATTGGTTTCATATTTAGTCTTAACGGATTCAATCAATGGAAGCACTACTTGCCTGTGTAGATATTCCTCCAGATTGTCATGATGCTATACCTCTCTTGAACTTGGAAAATAAATCTTTCTCCAAGTTTTTCAAGCGAATCTTAAAAAGGCTAGAAAAAGGAGAGACTTGTGTTCAAAAGGCGTTGCCTAAATTATCAGATAATGATACTGAAGAAGAATCAGAATACGTACTTATTGGGACCGCTCAAGAGGAAAATTCTAGAATATTATTCGCACGACTTCCAAACTCGTCAGGGAGTAATGAAGTATACAAACTTCCATTTGTTCGTTTCACCGTTCGTAGGACTAATGAGTGAGTTATTTTATGGTCTTAGCAACCTCTATTATACTAAGAATATTACTTCTTTACACCTGGTTATAATAATTAGGACATCACTGTCTAGGACTGATCTTTATAATTTTCTACATTTATCTTTGGTTCTATAGCATCCTATCATAAACTGATCACCCACAGCTATCACCCCTATTGTTGGCAAATTATCCATTATATGAAAATCACTTAACGTAATCAAACCACTAAAGTCGATATTCAAAGATAACATTCCTCGATTAACTAGTTTCAAAATGTCGAACCTCTAAATTACGTATATAATTTTACTACCAGTTATAAACGGTCCTTACAAAGTGTTTTAACTTTGTTACTACTGATACATCAACCAAAACAGATGGTTTTATACACGAGCCGCTTTCTCTTGTTCACTACACTTTGTCAAACATGAGGATCAACTTTAATCTAACTTACTAATTCAACAGCATAACCTGAGATTATGTTGTTTACGCTCTGCAGTTACCATAAATAGTTTTATAATAATGGTAGTCCAACCACTTGTTTGATACCGGTATAATAACAAAATTCGAATACAGCTATAATTGACTATAAACTAAATATTTTTAGCCGCTAGATTTTAGCAGGGAATCGAATACCAGTTCACTGCTAAACTTTCGTAATCCGATAAATACTCTCACATGGCTACGTGCATACAGCCACTGCAAAGGAAGTCATATTCACTGCCTCCTCACATCACGGGTGTTGTTTACAATATTGAGAGGACGAAAAGAGAATGTCCGACGCTTTAACTGGGTTGGTGGACACAAAAAGTCCACCTAGGGCAGCTGGGAAACCCTGATTGCAAACCAATGGACTCCAGTATCGTGAAGGAACAAATGGCCTATGAACGTGCTATTGGTTACCGGCTACCATGGGACTGCATCTCCTGATGTTGCTCCACTGCCTTCTGCATTATACCTTTAGGTTGGAGGGTCCGGGTGTCCCCCCCAAGGAGACCACGTGCATCGGTTTGGGCATCCAGGCAGTATCCCAGCCCTCACATAAATCTAATGATTTATGTGGCTCATATCTATTTGGTGCCTCCTTGTACGAATTTTTATGTGTTTAAATAAATAAATAAACTGAATCTGCTTGTAATTTTCTTCTATCTAATGTGCAGTTAAATTTCTCATCCCTGTATTTTTAAACATTATACTTGATCACAGCATTTCTTAGTAATTTTTGTTAGAATTGATCACTCTCTATGAAGAATATAGATTGTGGTTAGTGGTGAGAATCTTGGATATGTTTTCCATTCTGTTTGTGACTCGTCATTCGAGTGTACATATATTCTGGTATTGATGTTCATACCCAATCTCGAACCCAACACCTTTCTCTATTAACGCCAAACTGGTTATTGAATGAGTTACTGAATCTTAGATAATCATACACTTGTGATTAGTTTAGTTTTTACATTGTCCATTGTCATTTAAGTAACCTTGTATCTATTAGATAAAAGTCTTGGCGAGACTCTAATTTAGGGACGACCTTTGAACGAATCTTAAATGACCTTGATAATTATTAGCCAATCAAAAGACATTTAGTATAAAGTGAAAATATATTATAAGTCATGAATTACAGTGGATATTCTTCTTTTACATGATTAAAAAACTTGTTAAGATTTGATAAAGGTTCAGAGGTTCTGAATTCATAATGCATATGGTATAGAAACTCGTCCATAGGGCTAGGATTAAGGTTAGGGTGCTAACATGAGATCGGTTTACACCGGATTTTAGAGGTTAGGGTTAGGGTTGTAGCCTCTCAATAAACACCTCTTCCCTAACCCTATGGACGAGTTTCTATACCGTATGCATTATGAATTCAGAACTTCTGAGCCTTTATCAAATCTTAACAAGTTTTTTAATCATGTAAAAGAAGAATATCCACTGTAATCCATTACTTTCTTGTAATATATTTTTACTTTACACTGTCTTCTGATAGGCTAATAATTGAAATTGCTCAAACGCTTCTCACTGGCCTGTCCCTAAATTAGAGTCTCGCTGTCCCATATGTTGTAACCTCTCATTAATCACCTCCTCTCTAAAATCCGCTGTGAACCGATCGTATGTTAGCATCGCGTGTTGAACTTGGCTCCGTGACCTTGAAATTGCTCAAACGCTTCTGATTGGCTCGTCCCTAAATTAGAGTCTCGCCAAAGTCTTTTTTTCCTACAGAAAAAAAGTTTCCACTGTACACTCGTTTTAATTTCATTTATTTACCATTGATTTACATCTACTTACGTTAGTTGATTATTTTTAATGTTTAAATTTATAGACCTATAACAAAACAGAATCAGGATACCGCAAATAACAGTAAGTTACCGTTTCACTTTTAAAGAGGTAATTAGTTCACATTTAGTGATGATCGAAATGATGTTTATCTAATTCTTTTTAGTACTGATTGAATTCTATCGATAAAGTCTCAATATAGCTATTAGTCTTAGTAACTCACTTAACTCCTGACGAGTTAGTTGGTTTCGTACTTTGTGACACTCGTCAGCAAAGCGTACTGGGAAGGTTTATGAAACTAATGTTTCATGTGATATTCAAACCTAGGTCACTCTGTAGTTAACAAGAACACGAGTGGGGACAATCGAATGTATCTGAATCTCTCAGTAAAATCTGAGAATCATACAGTAAATACCTAATTTGCAAAATATTAATTAATTGCCTTAAGCTTGGCTATTTCTTTTGCAAATACCAGTCCATCGTCTCAGATTTCATTGTTCCTGCATTTTCATATCAATTGCTTTCCGTTCACGTTCTTTCCTTCTCGATCTTCTACTGAAATAATTGTATTCGTAACTATCGTTATATACTACTTATGTGTATATAAGTAGCACACACAATTTAGCCTCAGTCTGATGTGTTTCCACTTGAGCTATTCGGGTTTATTGGTGACTACCTCCAGTCATTTAGGTAGTTAGTTTGTCGGTGTCGTTTCTAGATGAGATAGTGATTGAAGTTAAGAAAAATCTTGATCATTGTCATTTTCAGTATTGTCTCCTGAACAACTAGCTCAATAATGAGTTTATTTCCATCAGTTGAAAGATCCTAAGACATCTATCATTAAGATCGTATCGAGAATACTGAAGACGAAAAAGTTATACAACATATGCCGTTTCGCAATAGTTGTGTTAAATGTACATATTTTAGGGAGTATTTATTTTTTGTGAAATCTTAGACTAGAACTTACAACGTAGATAAGGTACTGAGTAGAATAAACTGTCGAATATATGTAAAGAATTCAGTGATGTATCAGTGGTTAAAGCACTGAAATATCAACCACCAAGCCACAAGCTCAAACACTGCCTTACATACCTTGGTTTCTGATGTGTAAGCAAGGAAAATAATGATTGGTTGTGTGCTTAATCATAGTAGTAGTAATAGTCTGACAAGTACTAAATGAATTATATATTTTCCTGCTCTTATTATTACTGTAATTGTTGTCAGTTATTGGTGTGGAAATATACTTACGTTCTAGTCAGTCTAGCCACGTGTTCTGTCGAAGTCCTATAGAATAGATAGTGAGCGGGGTATCTCTTTAGTAGAAACTTTGTACACATTACCAATCAATGTAGAACCCTAATGAAAATGTACATCACCAGCCAGGTTGACGCATTGTGTCCGTAGATTTACGTAAAATTAACAAGGTGAATATATAGTTTGAAAAGAATGAATAAAAACTATAGAATGACTATTGATGCTTCTGTATCACTATGACTGGTTTTGATTCAATGTCATGTCTATACAAAAAGCATTAAATTAATCGATCTCAAACGTTGATAATATCAAACTCTTTTTAATTATTTCAACAATATAGGCATTGAACCTTATCTACAGGATACTTTTAAACGTCTTGATGATAAAATGGAAAATTTTGGAGCACAATTGTCTAAATTGATAGAATCTTTATCACAGAAACCAGCGCCTCGACCTCCAAGGAAATCGCAAACACCCACAGTAACTGCTAGTGCATCAAAGCCTAACTTAACATCAAAACCTATATTAGCTTCACAACTTTCACCTAATTCCACTTCCAAATCAACACCAGCATCTATGATGAAACCTGGATCTATACCAAAAAATGCATCCACTCCAAAGTCTATGATCATAAATCAAGCAAACTCTATTGTTTCATCCACTGAAAATAAACTCAAATCAACTCCGATTAAATCATTATCATATGGTCATGTTTTAGAAAGCCAACATTTAAATGAAAGTGGCACTAAAAAGAAACAAAATGAATCATCGACACAAGGTGAGCGTTTGATCATTTTCATAATGTTGGTTACTATGACTTAATTGTATTGAATTTTAATTTGATCACGCACGAAAACCAGTTGAAAAAGGATTTCCTTTCAACAACTACTTTCAACCGCCACCTTACATCTCAATTGAATTGTACGCGATATTGAATCATTTAGATTAGTTGTCACATTTCAACTTGATCGATGAAATTCTATCAACACTAAAAAGGATTTAATATACATGAAATTAGTCACGATTTATCTATTTAAAAACATAAACATTGGTACAAGGAGGCACCAAATAGATATGCGCCACATAAATCATTCGATGTATGTGAGGGTTGGGATACTGCCTGGGTGCCCAAACCGATGCACATAGTTTCCTTGGGGGGCCACACTCGGAGCTTTCGAGCTAAAGTTCTGATCCAATAGGCAGTGAAGCGAAGTCAGGAGATGCATTCCCATGGTAGCCGGTGACCAACAGCAGGTTTAGACGCCATTTATTCCTTCAGGATACTGGAGCCCATATGCACCCTTGGTTTGCGATCAGGGTTTCTCAACTGCCCTAGGTGGACTTGCTGTGTCCACCAACCCAGTTAAGGCGCCGGACATCCGCTTTTTCTTCCTTCCAATTTCGAAAACAACACCCGTGGTGTGAGAAGGCAGTGAGTAGGACTTCCGTGGTAGTGACTGTATATGCGTGGCCATGTGAGAGCATTTCGAGAGAGAGATCTGACTCTACTCATTCTTGGCCGTAACAGGGCATTTGGGGGCTACTCTGTGAATTCTATATGCACGTTCAAAACTCTTGATTATTATTTGTCTTTATCTGATAATTTAGTCTTAGTATAAAACTCTTCAGTACAGTGCTCAACTATAACTTTGTCACAGACAGATCAAACCTAGAATTTTTAAGTGTCACAGTAAGCACGCCACTTTAAGTGATCAGTACAATTTTGTTCATTGCATCCTGCTTTTATTCTGAACGTTCACTCTCTAACTGATCTGCCTAGTACTATTAAACCTAGAAGAACGAGTATTCCAACCAATATTAACCGACTAAGTCATTGTGATGTGCAAACTCAACCACTACGTCAAAGTAGTAGCTGCGGTCGGGTACAAGTCTTGACATTTCACGGCAGTCATCCACTAATCATCATTGATGATAACTATTTCACTCTCTCGACTTAGTTGAACTTTTTGCAAAAAATTCTTCTTGAAGTTATTTACTAGCTAAAATCAGTCTGTAATGTAGATTATCTGATAATTGACTAAACCGTCACTGGCTTCCATTCTGAGCTATGTCTGATAACGTCTCAAGCCACGGAATTACACTATCCCTTGGACTCCAATCTTTGAGTTTCGATTGGCTGACAGATGACAGTCTTATGCAGCTTTTTTTTTATACCTCGGCACCATGTCATAAACTGGCGACCATTTCTGATTTTCCCAACCAGTGTCAGCATCGGCAAATAAAGCAAAATGTGGAAGTCGCTAAGAGAACGTTCATAGTACATATCCAACCTATTGAAGTCGGTGTTTGAAAACAGTGATCCTAATTGAATTATTGTCACTGTACTCATGCTTCATCGCTATAATCCTTTATATTACCACTAAAATGTTATCTAAATAACAGTAATTTAGTCTCTCTTTTTTTCTTTCTATCCAATATTTTAGGTCATAGTCAAATTGAAAATCCAAGATTCGCTTCAATGATTGATAAAGCTATTGATCATGTTTTAGACCGTATTAATAAAGGGAAAGATATTAAAATTGGACCGATATTCCAAGAGAGATTAAGTTCTGTAAATAGATGCAATAATACACTTGATCATATCGATCTGTCGTCTAATCGTGTTGACATTGATGATGATGATGATGGTGATGACGATGATAACAACAACGATGCCAATATCACTACTTATAACCATGTTGTATATGATAGAAATCAACATAATCTTAATATTAAACCTAAAAAGAATTTAGTTGCCATTTCACCATGTGTATCATTTATGGTGAAACCAGTTCAGAGTAGTGCTGGTAACAACATCAAGCTGAATAATAATAATAATAGAAAGGATCAATTATCCACTGAAGATTATGCAGAATTAGAATCATTTTTACAAAACGATTCTGTCGTAAATCATGTTCATTATTCAACTGATTATGTTGTTGTTGATGACAATGACCGAAAACATAAACACAAAAAACGGAAATGTACAAATGATGATTAGATAATAAAACAACGGGATGACATTACCTGTACATATGTTCATGTGTGTGTGTGTGTGTTTGTGCTTGTGTCCAACTTCACTTTTGTACATAGTTACAAGTACTATATATATATATTAGGTCGGTTTTTTTTGTTTCGTTATACCGCGTGATATCTGTCTGTACTTTACCTGTTGACTAGTCCATTTATCACATGTATTACATAAGTGCTTCATTGTTTCATTTATTTAACCTTTTGTTTTGATATAGTAGCAAAGCAATAAGATCTAATTTATATAAATACACAATCTATTAACCAGAGAGTTTTCAATTTTCCTTTCAAGACTTATATGCTGCATTTTTTTTTTCGAGATTGTATTCATCATCAATTGAACAATCTACCTAATTCTTAAAGTTATAATGAAAAATTGTAATCTTTGGATTAGGTCCATGTCTAATGTGATAAATCTATTCCTAATGGCATGAATTGATTAGAGCTAAAATCGTGATACTGTTGGATACGGATTGAGTGGTCCTGACGATTAAGCATCCATCTTGGGTCCGACCTGTGATGGGGTTATGTGTATGTATTTCGAAAGGAAGTCTCATACCAGGGTATAACAGCTATCTAGCGCTTCCTAGTTCTTAATAGTATCACAATTGAGGTCAATTTGTAAGTGGTACAACCTAACCCGATCGAAGCTGCTACCTTGACGCGGTGGTCGGGCTTGTCTATCGTGATGACCCAACCGAGCTATATTGGCTGGAACATATGTTCCTGCAGGTTCTACCATGCCAGGCAGGTCGATTGGTGAACGGTAAGACTAAAAGCAGCAACTCAAGGTCTGAGGGCGAAGTCGTACTGCTGACTGTAGAGAGGTGTGAGAGCAGTAAGGTGTTTCTCTCGGACATCCAGCATGACAGCGATGCTGCCTTCCCACAAGGAGGGGTGGGGTTAGAAAAGGTCGACCCTAAAAATGTCACACCTCACCTTACCTCACGGATTCCCGTCTCCGGTGGTAACGCCCTTTGAAGAACGGAGCTAACACACTAAAAACCTTCCACGAAAAGGCCGTGCGCGACCGGCCTCAAGCAGTTGTCCCTTGGGCTCTGCGGTCACGCTCTCAGGTCGTCAAGACCAACACTAATCCAATTTCCTTTTCAGGTTCCTCAAGAAATACCCTTCTACAGTGTGGGCAGCCGGGAAGTGATATCAGCCCTCATACCCGTAACAGCACAAGAGATCAAGGTGGTCACATTCAAATCCTTCATACACCTTCTAATACCTCTCTTATCTCCTGACTGGTACAACCTAAAAATTAGTGCTATCCACTCCAAACCCTTAATATTCTTATAATTTCGGTTCCCTGAATAAAAAGATGAATTCCACAACATGCAGTCTTGTCCAAAATTTACACATATCTGACAATATAACAAATAAGAATGACACGAGAATAAATGATCGCAATAAGTATTAAATCAAATATACCATGGGAATGAAGCGGTCACGATTGCAAAAGTTTAAAAACATTGAATATTATTAGAGGATACTGTCTAGTCCATTTTGTAATCGTTAGTTATAAAATTACTGACATTCATTTCACCATAAGGAGAAATAACTACGGAAAGATTTTAATGGAGTAGCTATTTAAATGACAAGGTTTATTATTCGAGCACAAATGTTCATCATTTTATTGGATTTGTTTACCAAGCTCTCTAATTGTTTTCATTTATATATATAGTAATAAGTAGTGTGTAACAGTCTTTATCCCTGTTACTAATTAGTAGCCAAATGTTTTTGCTTTGTAACGTTGATGGAAACTATCTATCAAGATTCGAATAAAACAGTACTAATCTTTGGCAGTAAAATCTGCTGTGTTCATTAGTTTTTACAGTTAGTCATTAATCTTGGGTGCTATTAGAAGTATGAGGGCGGATATCGCTTCTCGGTTGCCCATATCGTGGAAAGGTACTTCTGGAGGCACCTGAAAAGGAAATTTCGTTAGGAGTGGTCTTAGTGACCTGGGAACGTGACCACAATGCCCAAGGGGCAACTACTTGAAGTCGGTCACACACGAATCGCCGGAGAGGGATATCCGTGGGACAAGGAGAGGTGTGCACTTTTGGGGCAGACCTTTTCTAACCACAACCCTCCTTGTGGGAAGACAGCATCGCTATTATGCTGGTTGTCTGAAGGAAACACCTTACTGCCGTCTCACCTCTGTACAGTCAGCAGTACGACTTCGCCTTCGGACCTTGGGTTTGTTGCTTTTAGTCTTACCGTTCTTCAACCGACCATGCCTAACTGGCATGGTAGGACCTTGAAGAACGATTGTTTCAGCCAGTATAGCTCGATTGATTCAACACGATAGACAAGCCCGACCACCACGTCAAGGTAGCAGCAACGGTCGGGATTAGTTTTTTACAGCTATGAATGGAGAGGGGCCTCCTTGTATTCGTTTGTTATGGTCCATTAAGTTGGTCGTATTAAAATTAATATGTTCAAGTAGAGAGGATTGTAATTTCATGTCTAAACATTTGTAAGTATATCTTGGTTTCTGAACACTGAACTTTTTTTTCTAAATTAAACTGTTAACTAAGCCTATTTGATGGGTATATGACGAAGTCTTACGTTAGTCCACTGCCTTGTGGATTAGACCTTTAGGTTGAAGGCTCAGGGTGTGGCCCCCTAAGAAAACCACCCGCTTCGGTTTGGGAACCCAAAACAGTATCATAGCCCACACGCAAATCAAGTGACTTGTGTGGTGCATATGTATTTGGTGCCCTTTGTACCAATATTTATGTGTTCAAAGCTTATTTGCTAGGAGAATTAATAAAATATCTTAAATATCCATGAATATAAGATTGGGTTGTTTTTTTAAAAAAGCAATGACACGATTGTAAAGTGTATATAGTGTTGCTCAGCTTTAATGGTTAGGGATATTACCTTAACCCAAATAGAAATACACCATGTACTAATCACACATTTATCTTGACTATTGATATATGTGCGATGAAAATGCGTAAGTAGAATGTTCAAGTCCAGGCGAATGTTAAGGAAAAAGTAATAACACATGATGCGCTGATTATATCAGATCCAGTTGTATGTACTGGAAGAATGGAGCAGTCGCTTTTTCCCCACTTATCACTATTCGTCTGAATATGTTATCAACTCACTACTAATAAGTAGGAACTATCATTAGGCCGAATATTTGAAAATACTGTATTAGGATTATGCAAGTGAAATTGTTTAGTGTTTAGGCAACTTGACATTCGGCTAATGAATGTGAAGATTAACATCCGACATGAATCGTCCAACTATAACAAGTGGGACAGTTTATCCGACGACTTTGCCTACAAATACGTCTATCTTGATATTCGAATAACTTATGGTGGCTTTTTGGAACTTGGAGTGATTGATTAAGGCCCTTTGAAATGCCACTCATAAGGAGTGAAGCCTTCAACTGTCGCTGGATACTCGAATCTCATATTATAAGCCAACGTCAATTCCCTTGCAATTTCAGATGCTTCTAACTGGTTGATATCATTTAGCGCAAAATCTATAATCAAGCAGGGATACCTACTAACTGGAAATGACTAACCTTATAATTATTTACTATCATTCAGTGACCACTAGATGGGGAATATTGCGATTTTACCTGAACAGTTCTCAAGTAATCACTAAACACTCAAACGCGACGCCCTAAGCCAGATTAACGCCTTGCATTTAGACATAAACGAGATAAAGATGAACGTTTTTCGCAGAAAGTATGCCGTAGATGACTTAACTTATGATTTGAAAATACCTTTTATGAACTATGTTACGAGTCTTATAGATCAGAGATCAGGGAAGAAACTCATCTAGTTACTGAAAGGACTGGAAAATCAAAACAGTCGAAAGCAAATTTCCAACTGACTTTAAAAGGTATGTACATAGTTTCTCAAGTGTCGAACTAGATTTAAAAAAAACTAGAGGTATTATCTCTAGGCCTAAAATTTTGTGATACACGTAATAGCTGTAACCACATCGATACAGACATACAATTCGAGAATCTTCATAGTCATACACGTGATTTGGTTATGAAGTCTGATCAGCAATTAGAACATTTTAAGTCAACACTTGTAGACTGCTGTTACCAATATAAGAACAATAAATTCAGTTACAAAAGCATTCTTACGAAGAAGCACAAGGAAGCCATTAACCTACTTCTCACGGAGGAGATCTTATTGATTACAAAACCTGACAAAGGTTCAGGTGTTGTTCTTCTTAATAAAAGTGATTATATTTGAAAAAAATGAGTACAATCTTAAATGACAAATTAAAGTCTCAGAAAATAACTGACCAGAAAGATTTGAATAATAAGATAGAGCTTACCAGATCTTTGAAGAAGCTCAGGGACCAACAGACTATCTCGTCGGGTTTATATGAAATGATTAAACCAGTGGGGATTTATCTGCCGAGATTGTATGGATTGCCAAAGGTGTACAAACCGGGGATCCCATTAAGACCTATTCTAAATACGTACAACTCTTCTTACCATACTATAGCTAAATGGTTGGTAACTGTATTGAAACCTCTACACGAAAAGCTTGTAAAATACAGTGTTAATGATGTGTTCCAATTTGTTAATAAAATCAAAAATGCAAATACTTTGGGACTATAGATGACGTCATTGGATGTAACATCGTTATTCACAAACGTCCCACTCATAGAGACTGTGGAATATATAGGTGAACAGTTGATTGAAAATGAAATTGAAACTACTGTTTCTATTAATGTCGTGAAAGAGTTATTACTCAAGTGCACTATGAATGTGAACTTCAAGTTCAATGGTGAAATATTTACACAAACAGATGGTGTTGCAATGGGTTCACCACTAGACCCTATACTAGTTGATATTTTTCTAGCCAAACAAGAAAATGTTCCACTAAAAAGATTATTCAAAGCTTCACATTTTACTGTAGATACATGGATGACACGTTCATCCTCTGTGTTATAATCTCTTTCTTCTTACGGTTATGACCCAGCTATTCCTATTGCTTAGTATTCTTGGACACCGATTCACTCGACAAGACCCCAAATCAGAACACGGTTGAACAGGAAAGAGATTATATTCCAAATAACAAGGTTAGATAGAGGCAAGATGCAAGCCAGAAGCACAATAGGGAAAACGTCGGTATATTTATAGTTTTTACATAAGAAGATTCCAGAGTATTCTCCGACTATCGACTAGTGCTGATTGGATAAGAATCAGCCAATCAGCGTGCACCAAAGCAACCATGCATTGAGCATGCTTTAATCTAGTCTATGTCCCGCTAACACTGTAAAGATAATACGTCGCCGCAAGAGGTTCTTAGGCGATTTAAGGAAATGCATCCAGCAATTCAGTTTCCATCTGAAGAAGAGAGTGATGGCCGAATAGTCTTTTTGGACGTTCTCTTGACTAAGAGCGGATGGATCGTTAGAAAGGAACTTGAACAGAAAAAGTACATGGACCAGGCAGTATACGAATTTCCTGAGCTTTGTACCTCTACAGTACAAACGAAACTTGATCAAAACCCTTAGTTACCGTATACGCACTATATGTTCTGCTGCTATAGTTGAACAAGAGCTTGACACCTTGCATAATACTCTCAGGGAGAGTAGAAAGTTTATAATTAAATATATGGTCATGAAGGCGAAATACAAACAGTGAAGAAATCCCTGTTCATGCGTCTACAATTCAGAGGGGATGCGGCTAGTGAAATATTAACTCAGAGGCTATGTAGGACAATACAAAAGTCTTTTAACGCCGGAGAACTGCGATTAGTATTTTCTACGCGCCCAATGGTTACACCGAGGCTAAAAGATGAATTACCTAGAATTACCACCTCATTTTGTATTTATCAGTTCGACTGCTCCTGTGGAGCGAGTTATATCGGTCGAAGTTCTAAGAATTTACAGTTTCGTGCTCGTGAACACCTTGCAGCGTGGCTACACAAAGGTTTGATGAAGAAAGTGAACAGCTCAATACTGGCCCATTTAGTACAAACCGGTCATAGTGCCAGTATAAACCAATCTTTTTCAATTTATAAGGTAATTTTTTCCCAAAACTGGTCAGACTGAAAGTCCTTCAAACGGCTGAAGCAATAGCCATCCGGATGAAGAAACCGGAGCTATGCGTACAGAAGAAATATATTCAGCCACTCCTCCTCCCTTGGCCAACATCAAGGCCAATTAGCCAATCGTAATCTTAACTATTGAATGACCTAATTCGACGATGACCTTTGTAGTCAATTGTAATTGTCCCTGTTATCTTTATTCATAAATCTTTGTATTATTGGTTAAACATCATTATTAATCTCCCCTATACATGATTCATTCAGTTCACATTTATTCCTCCGTATTTCGTCTTACTTATTTGATCGAATTGTATTTGCACTATTATTTTTCCCTCACTCTATTCGACCCATATTTATTCTGATCATGGATCTTAGAAAATTTCACTTAACATAAACGCAGATTCAAGTTAATATTCTATATGAGTCATATTAACATTAACAATTTTTTGTAAGCAATGATGGATAGTGGCTAGCAGTGGAATCCAGTTTGACACCCGTTTCGTCCTATTTGGGACTCATCAGCTGGATGTACCTTGTTTATCACAACCCTAAATTCACATGCTTTAAACGATATACTTCGGCCTTAACCTGACCATTTTTCAGATTATTAATTTAGATATATGACTTGTAGAACCTGAAGAGAATTTATCGAGAAGAATATTCATCGTTCAAATACTAGTGTTTTAATCATTAAGTGTTGAACATAGTCGACCAATTTTTCAATAACGACCAACCATTTATGATATGTCGGAATTAAAAGCTACATCATGAACAAACTGACAAATGAAAACATCCATCAATGAAGATTTAACCTCCAATGATGTATAGAATCATAAACTTCATGGTCTTAGTTCATCGGAACTGTAGAACGTTGAACTAGTTAACAAGATGGATCAAAATAGATAACAGTTGTCAAAATGCCTTCAAAAATTTGTAGATACATAGTACATGGTTGGGGTCTGTGCGATCATTATGATCAGTGATTACAGACAAACAATAACACTATTCACACACAATCAGCCGAAATAGCGTAGATGCGTTTAATTTCTATCTTCCTTTCGATTTTGAATCCCAGTATCCCCCTTTTCACTCTGTTCTTATATTCTCAATGTTCAGATTTTCGCATTACCATTGATAATATGATTATTTCGACTCGTTTACCATCCATCTTATGATAACGAATTGAGCTAACGCTCTATCTTGATTTATTACTGACTAGTTGCTTAGAAACTATCACTATTAGTTTTCTTTTATCATCATTCATAAACGAATTGCTCCTTCCCATGTGTATACAGCCTCTGACAGGGAAGTCCTACTCACTGCCTTCTCGCACAACGGGTGTTGTTTACGAAATTGAGAAGACGAAAAGCGAATATCCGGTGTTTTAACCGGATCCCAAACCAAATCAATGGTGTACATGGGCTCCAGTATCCTATCGCAACAAATGGCGTATGAACCAATTTCTTGGTCATCGGCTACCATGGGAGTGCATCTCCTCACGATGCTCCACTGCCTGCCTTCTGGATTAGATCTTTAGGTCAAAGGCTCGGGGTATGGCCCCCTACGAAAACCACTTGCTTCGGTCTGGGCAACCGGGCAGTATCACAGCCCCCCCCACACACACAAACAAATATGATGTGGCGCATATATATATTTGGTGCCCTCTTGTATCAATATTCATGTGTTGAAATAAATAACCCTTTAAAAGGCATCATTATAATTCATAGATTACAACATTCAACATACTATTTTTGTCTATCGGCCAATTTTTTAGTCAAACCATTATGAAGAAAAGAAGAGAAAAAAAAACAGGAATGAGATCAATAAAAAGAAAACAAATAAAGGAGAACGGAATACATTGCAATCGATTGATGAATGAACTGATTAGAAAAATTAGATTTGACCATTGAAAATATGAATCACAGTTTGATTCTCTTTAAAATAAACTCCATCATATATGATCCAATTGATATACACATATAGACTTTATTTATTGAATAGAATTGATGAAGTCATATCACCAAGTGAATTTCACATTTACGGTGATGATGATGGTGGTGGCGGTGGTGGTGGCGGTGGTGGTGGTAATAATGATTATGTTTATGTATAGACATTGGTGACAAGTTTTATTTGATTCAATTATTGCATAAAGAATTTATTTATGAATTCATTGTAAGAAGATGATTTTTCATTGCGTAATACTGATTGATACGAGAGATACCATATCTATAAATCAATATATAAATAAATAGGAGTGAGAGGGGGATAGAGGGGTATAGAGATGGAGACAAAACGAATCATTATAAACAATGACAGTTTTTCATTGACATCCTCCTCATCATCATCGTCATTAATTACAGATTAGTTTGTTAGTAAACTATAAACAATGTGACATAAACATCAGTTAGTGCACTATTACGACATACAATACTGTTATGACTTGATGTCCGGCTTTTTTTTATCACGTGATTTATCCACCAATCAAAATACGACTTATACAATCGTGGCGCTGTGCCAAACCAATGACGTTCGACCGGTATGGGCAGCCTAGCGTCCTTATTTGATCCTATGTCCGCCTAACCTGTCCACTTGAAGTTCAGAACACCAAATACCAGCTTCCAATATGTCAATCGAATCGATTCATTTATTTCAGACATCATACTGGGTTTATATATCAACCAAACAGTCCGCAACTCACCATAAAATAGGAAATAACATTCATATAAACAATAAAGCCAAAAAGTGACTGTGAACGTGGAAGACAGTAGTTAATAAACTGAACATAACTTAAGAACACTAAATCTTATAATAATAATCTATAGGACAAAATGAAGCTTATAATAAGAGGAATACAAATATACATAATCTAATTATTGAATAACTATACCCTAAGAATGTATAGATAATATTAATCCATTATTAAGTCTCGTAATGTAATCTTCACTAGGATATAATAAATACCATAATGAAATTCTATGTATTGATAATGATAATAAGAAATACAAAGTATTAAGAATGTAGTTTATGTGAAGACGGAATGAAAAGGTACATATGTGATGGAATACTGGAGTTAAAGGATCGAGAGGAAGATAAAGAGTGAATCCACCTGAACAGTATCACTCATGAAATTTACTTGGTATTGTTTATTTGTATCTTCCCATTGATGCTTAGGATTGCAATTGATCAATGTCTCTTGTTGGCATATGCGCATCCTGTACAGATTGCCTCGATATTGCCTTAGGTACCACCCATCATTTCCAACTATTAGTTGTGGTTATCGTGAGGATTTCAATCAGATAGTTTAACTCTACCGAAATGGTTTAGATCAATATTCATTCAACGACTTCATATACGTACTTTCTACTTATTCCAACACCAATAAACATCATATATCCAGGTATACAGTGATTGAGTATACGTAAAACATATCTGTTAAATAGTCACAATCGATTGTTAGATAAAATAGTTCAGAATACTGACGCAAAGATACCAAATTTATTGTACTTCAGTACACGTTTAGCAACACCATTTTATTCTGCTTTTTTGAACATTATTCTTAATCTTTCTGACTATAAATGGTACTATGATTGCTTCGATTCTTTGGCTATTCACCTTTTTAATACCATCTCATCAGGCTGATTTAGTATGATAACTTAAACTAACACACACATATGTCAGATCCTTTGTTGATTATGATTAATTGACTAGAGATTAACCATATCGTACGTGACAAAAATGATAAACTAGTTGATGATCTTGTAAATTTTCATCAACTGAGATGATTAGGACATCTATTATGTATGTCCAACAATCGACTATCTTGACAAACAATTCTTGCTAGTAAATTGGAAGGTAGGGATGGCTCAACCTGAACGTAGCAGAAGTCCATCAAGTCACTAATGGTTTTTGCAGAT